TTTGTAATTAATTTACATTTAGACAATCCTATCATTTAGAAATTGTTCAAGACTGGTGACTTAATTAAGGAGTGATGACTTAATTAAAGAGAAATGAGATTATTTTTTTTGTTTTATTTATTAAGGTTCGATTTTTTTTTTTTTTTTGAGAAGGTTAATCAAAAGAAATTCATTATAATTCTTTTAATTTTGATGTAAATAATCGACCTTCAACTAAATTAGAGAAAAATTAATTTTAAAATATATATAATTTAGTCTAGAAATACTTTAACAGTTAAAAAAACATATTCTTTACTTTTATCACTTTGTATCTCCTATTCACTCTCTGTCCGAAAAAAATTGTCATTTTTTTTTTTGTCTTTTATGCAGTTTAAAAATTTGGAGAAATTTGATGTATTTTACTTATTATTATATATTACCCTTAAGTAAAAGTTTTGGTGATTGGGTGAATAATTAAAAATAAGGAATAATAATGCAAATATTTGTCTCTAATAAAAATAAAAAAATGAAAATTAATTTTAGATAAATTAAGAATAAAAAAAAATTATTCTGATACCAATAGAGTAAAGTTAAAATAAAAAGGGAAAATATTAGGATGCACCTTAAAATTGATAAAAACAAAATTTAATAGAAAAGTATATTATGGGACCTCTATAGAATAAAATTAGTGCAGTGAAAGACATCTTGACTACTTCCAAAAAAAGAAAAAAAAAGAAGACATGCAGCATGGCAGAACAAGAAAATTTAGAGAATTATCTCTTCCTCAGAGCCTCTTAAGCATTGGCCCTATAGTCTATATGGTTGGAAACAATCTCCAACTCACTGGGTAGTTTTGATTGAATTTTTGGCTTTACTAAACATGGAGCAACCTCAAGGGTTCAGAGACTGAAAAAAACAACCATGCAAATCATCATATGATGTGCTAACATTTGAGAATTATGTAACATCGACCCGTTTCAGTTGTCCCTAACAGGCAATTATCTGCAAAAAAATTCAGTTCACGTACATAGCCGAATAGATGATCTGAATCATCTACAGAAGGTAGAAAATAGAACAAACAAAATTTATACTACAATCAATCAGTAGGGTAATATTGATTCACGTCCCTGTTCTTGCAAGATGATGTACATCAACAGGTTCATTTTGAGTGGAGAAATTCAGATGACTGGCCTACATTCTCTCACTGCAACTCGTAAGATGAAGAACTAACTCCCCATCTTTCCTCATGGTTATGGGCTAGAGAAAATTCCTGATCATGAGTGACCCTACATACAAACAAATTGTGAAATTTGTAATGTCAGTCAAAGAATCAAGTAGTCCCATAAGCATATTGTTTGGGATCAGAGAAAGGAGTTTAGAATAAATAAAATATTATGGCTAGTGTAAGAGTACATAATGAATACCCCGGTCCAGGCTTATGGTATGTCGCGTTAATGGTCCCATACTTAATAGAGAATGCAACATAGTAAAACCCTGCCATGCATCTAAACTCAGAGTCTGTCTGCTCACTGACATAACGTTGCTCTTTCCATCTCTGTGTCAGAATCCAAGAAATAACAAGTTCACATATGGTTTTAACCTTTTTGCCAATTGTTAAAATGACAAGAAGATCAAATTACCATAAAAATGAATGGGTCGTCACTCAAGTTCCAAGAGTTTCCACCATCAGCTTGTACCGCATTCTACAAAAATATAGATCTAGTCAAGTCTCACAGGTTTAAGATATGCAAAGTTCATTTTCTAGGTTCCAAATCTGTACCCCGAGAGCAGAGGAAAAACTAGCCCAGTAGTTTATATCATCCTGTGGCCTGTTGAGAGTTTTAAAACTGATTAAAAAAGGGAATTGATTTACAAATGTTTTCGACCTCTATAGCAAAGAATAATTGAGATAAATACTGTGTTACTGTTTTCCATTAATGTCATGTAGAAGAGGCTTGATTATCAAATCAAAAGAAAGAAATAAGAAACATACGTTGCGTGCCATTTGCCGGTGTAGAAAGTATGGTTCTTCATATCAACAATCTCCCCTTCCCAGAAGGTCACTACCTGAGAAACATCACAAAGAATTACTTAATATTTGAACCTGTTAGAAAGAAATTCAGCAAACTTAAATAAGTTTCCATATTTCTGCAGAAGTAGACAAGAAAGAACTTTAGGGAGTTTCAGCAGCACAGAGAGCAACAACTCTACCTTTGAGAAGACAATATCTATCTAAGATGCAAGAAACAGAGGAGAGATATTTGTCCATCCACTAATTAACAAATGCTCCTCCTATTCATGATGTTCCTACCATGAAATCTGATGGCAAAAGGACACAAGGTAGGGAGCAGCAAATTTTGGCTTTTTGCTGGAAAGAAAAAGGCAACTTACTGGTCGGCCAATCTGAAGATTTAAAACTTCCATGATGCCACAAATGTACCCACGTTCAAGGTCACATCCTTGTATGCGGACATGAAGTCCCCAACATCTTGGTGGTTGAGTACATTTCAGGTGACCTGTAAATGCCTGCAACAAAGGTATCTTGTGTGACATATTGTAATGCTTTAACATAAATAGAATGTCTAGACAAGTCAATTGATTTATGTGGATTTGACTATTATCAGCTCAGTGGAAATTCCTCTTTCAACTGCACCTGGCCAACACCACCCAAAAGGAAAAAGAACAGAAAAGAGAACAAGCAAAAACATGTTGACATCAGAGCTTCGGTTTAACATGCAAAAGCAGAAGAATAACTGAGACATGTACTATGCAATAGAGCAACTCAGAACTCAGAATTTAGAACATGAAGTTGATCATCTGAAAACATTGCATCCCAATATCATCACGCTATCAAGACATCATTTGACCTTTACCTCTATTAAGAACCAATGTAATCGTAACTAGGCTCAATCCACACCGGGAAACCAATAAATGAGGCCACAAGTATAAGACCCATCACTAGCTGCTAAATCTAAAACCGAAAGATAACCACTTCTAACACAAATTTGATCAAACATGCACTTGAACTCAAAGAAAGAACTAATCACCATATAAATGTCAAGCAATTACAAATGCAGTAATTCACTGATTCATATGGCAGTTCAAGAAATATACCAAATTAAAGATACAAAAAAGATTATTGTTATAAAAAGGAAGGAAACTCACCCTCCCTACACTCAAGACAGGTTCGAGTGAAGTCCTTCTGGAGTTGGTACCTTCAGATTCAAAATTAACAGGGAATTCAGCACCACCATATTCAGTGCAAAGATAAATGATTAACAAATCTAAATGATTCAGAATTCAAAATTCCTAGTTCACAATCAAAACAACTACTTGAGATGAAAAATCCCACTTTCTTGCACATCAAGAACAGTGATTCGATCCTTAAAAAACACGTAGAAGAATAGTAGGTCGATCGGAAACGGAAACCTTTTTATTTCTCGATTAAAATTCTAGAACATTTGCAGGGTAAAAGAAAGAACTTTAGAGAGTAGAAAAACCTGGATCTTGAGAAGATGAAGAGCTTGCTGCCATATCTTCGATTACTTCAAAATCTTGGTTTCAGAATCTGAAACTGGGTTTTCCTTTCTTCTTCTTTTTCTTCTTCTTCTTTGGGCATCTGAGGTGGGTTATATAGAAGGAGATAAGCATCCCCTCCCTCAAAAGCCTTCCCGCCATTCTCAAATTCCGAGGTTTAGCCGTTGCGCTATCGCCGGGGACAGCAACTGAAACCGTTGGGAAGTTTTTTTTTTTTTTTTGAAAAAACCATTGGGAGCCTGCGTTGGGTCTTCTCGGGTTTCTCATTTCACGCTGGGGGGAAGTTAGAGGACGCGAAAAAAGAATCGGGTTCGGGTTGTCCATTTGGAAAAACATTAGTTAAAGCCCTCAGATTTTACACATTTTTCAATTTTGTTCTGGTAAAATTTTTTTATTGAA